GAAAATATAGCATAATGATAATACTAGTTATTGTAAACTTTACAAACCACCCAGCAGTATGTAAAGTCAAATTATAAAATACAAGTAAATAACAATTGCAGAACAGAATGTCAGTGTAATGAACACACACTTCGTTTTGACAAAGCACAGCTTAGGTAAATGATCTGAGTAGCTGTTCGTCACTGAGCAATTTGTTAATATGTGTTTCGAGCCAAATAAATGACAGGGAGAGAGAGAGTGACGTCAGAACACGTCATACTCTAACCTCCCGGGAGCGGACGGAGGTTCTTTAAAGAACCATTTTTAAAAAGGTTCTTTGAAAAACCATTAAAGGTGCCCCAAAGAACCATTTCTTGATGGTTCTTTGGGGCACCTTTAAAGGTTCTTCAATGAACCACTGAAAGAAATGGTTCTTCAAAGAACCATTGTTTGAAAGGTTCTTTGTGGCACCAAAAAAGGTTCTTCTATGGCATCAGTCTAAAGAACCACTTTTGGTTCCAGTTGGCACCTTTATTTTTCTGAGTGTAGATCTGTCCAGAGTACTGCAGCTGGTTGTCAAAAAATGCAACCAAAATCACCAGGTCATAGTATGCACTGCGATGAGTGTGTCCCCTTACACCAAGAACTGTGTGTAGTGCAAAGCACTGATTTAATTTTTTAAAGTTTCAGCCAAGCTCAAACTGAAAATCTATGATTCTCTCCCACAGGTTGTTTCAAGGGTTGGACTGGGAGAAAAAATTGGCCCTGACATTTTCGGTCCACGCGGCTCACCATGATTACTCAAATAAATAAATAAATGGATTTAATTTTGTTTGATTATAGATATTGAAACTGCAGCCTGGTGCTACCGTGACGAGTTGTTACTAGTTATTGCTGGTACTACGGTGCAGCATCAGCAGCTCCAACGGGTAATTTTACATATTTTGCTGCCATCTGTTTTTAGTTTCTTTTTCTTTTCCTCTTTTAGCTTTTCAGTGCCACCGTTTCGTCACTTCTTCCACACTGAAGTCTATTCTATACAGGGCGTGTTGCTAATAAAAATGAACAAATTGGCTGCTGTCAGCATTGTACAGCCGGTGCACAACAGCCCTTCAACTGACCCATCGGCCCAAAAGTGCGGCATGCCAGCGCGGTTGCCTTTTTATGACTGTTAATACTGTATGAATTCATTAATGCAGGCACTTTGCCGCCTAGAAATCTTATCTGTAAAAATTATGAACAGTGACAAGGGGCAGCCCGGACTGAGTCCAACACTCACCTAGAACAAATTAGACCACATAACATTGCAGAAGGGTGCCAACCAAGACAGCCCTTCAAAATACAGGGCCTTAAAGAACTCAGGGCGGATCTCATTGATATCTGGTTTCAGCATCGCCACCACCAAAGTAAATGGACTGGTTCTTATATAGTGCTCTTCTACTCTATCTGAGCACTCAAAGCATTTTCATGCAACTTGCCCATTCACACAGGCACGCTTTTCTATGTTCTTTCTATGTAAGTGGTTTCTGTCTAACATTCAAACCTGGGTTTACTATCTTGCCTAAGAATATTTGGCATCCAGACTGGAGCAGACGAGGATCAAACCACCAACCTTCCAATTTATCTGCTCTATCACCTGAGCTACAACCACCCCAAAGGCACCAACACTCTTACAGTCGCAGCTCCTTGCAGCAGGCTCAGTAATGGATGTCTGGAGCATGGCCTCTCCGGCATCCTCCTGCCACCTGATCCAGCTCACCACCAGGCGGTGATCGGTTGAAGCTTAGCTCCTTTCTTCACCCAAATGTCCAGAACATACGGCCGCAGATCTGATGATACGATTACAAAATAGATCACTGGCGAACTACCCAAGGGCTCCTCTGCACTTAGTAACATTGTTATGTGTGAACTTGGTGTTTGTTATGTTATCTAACCGTGATGTAGATTCTTAGCAGAAATAACAATTAAATATGCAGCCTGACAAGCTTAACCCACCTTTAGAGGCCAGCTGTAAAGGTTCAGGTGTTTTGGAGGAATTTCCATATATTTGTGATACTGTCTGCTGCCGCGTCTATTAATGCTTTTCATGATCTGGCCACAAACTATAGCAATTCCCAGATCTCCTTCAATAGGCAGTTGGGGAGAGTCACAGTATAAAACAGAGCAACCTTCAAGTGCATGCAGTTTAAAGTTTCAGAGTTCAAGTAGGCAGCTCTCAGATTAATATAAATAGCAGCGCCAAGCAGTAAATATATTAAAATATTCATCTGCCACTTTGCTGTTGGGGTTTTTTGAGCCTGCTAACACAAAGAAAACATTTCTATGTCAAACTTGCTTCAACGTACTCCCTTCTAACTTGACTGCAAACTGTGAAATTGCACGTGTGAAGAAAGTTCTTCTTGTATGTTCACTGACTTTTTCCACCATGTATATATATGAAAATATGAAAAACAGAAAAGTGATAACATACCAAATGAAATTCTACTTACTTTGTAGCAGCATATTTAAAGACAAATCAACAGGAGACACAATTTTGAAAGACATTTATGGAACTCTGTCTCAAATTAGTTTATTATCCAGCCAAAAAACCTGGTTTGTGCAGTTTATCTGGAAAGTATACATACATAATTCATTCCTCTCCTCAAAATTCAATATTAAAAATTAAAAACAAAAATATAACACGTACACAAGCAGTGACAGCCTTTGCCACTCAACTGTGCTGTAAGTGCTCTGAATACTTCACTGCATTTAACAAGTGTATCGTACATTCAGACCCTAAACAACAGGCCATGAATTTGCTGGCAGTACACGCAGAAGATATGTTGTTTGTTGCTGGTTAATGTTGATTCTTATGTTGGGTAACTGGTACTGAGTTAATACAATAATGTTCTTTTAGCCATATGAAGACGTTTGGTGATCCCAATATAATTACATGTCAACTGATGCTCTCATTGCTGGTTGCATCACAGAATAGATCCTCACATTCAAAACAAACTTTTATCAGTTTCATATAAAAAGATCTGAGCTGTAGTCATTCATTCAACGTGTGTTCACATTTTACTTTGCAGTCGCTTTTGCTTAACTGATGGTGACATACTGCTAATATTCATTGTAACTTTTATGAAGGAGATGCTTTTCTATGTGGAGTGTTTATGGGGTAAATAGTTGTTTATTCATTTTCATGAAGCAGATTTGGCTGTTGACATGAATTGGTGAGTAAATACAAATCCCTATCTGCACTCTAAAAGCTCTTGTGTTGATTAGTGAGAGGGTAGGGAGAGCTATAGAAGAGTGGGGGCGTGGGGAGTGAGGAATTTGTTTACCGCACACTTTCCTCCCTCAGATCTGATTAGCTAAATGTCACATTGAATAGTTGAACCTCTCTCGTGTGTGTGTTTTTCTATATGCAGACATTTTACCAATGAATTTTTATTTGATGATGTTTTAAAAACTGAAACAATAGCTGTGTGTATTTATCATCATCTCTCGCTTTCTCTGTCAGACCAGGTTGAACAAAGTTCATCAATATCAAAGTTTAGAGGTGGACAAAAGCTCCATCGACTCTATTTAATCTTGACAGACACAAGTGCGCTGCCATGCAAACATAATATAAATTATTGGAAAATGAAATATTCACATTCACTTACAGTTGCTACTGTCACTTATTAGCGACTTTAGAAAAACGAAACCAGATACATTAAACATCTGATTGCAGAAGTAGCATTTTTTTTATATGGCATTGTTTTATCTCTTAATTCATATTCTAAACATGAATTCATGACTGAGACCCTGAAACTGACTCGAGAACAGAATGACCTGCTCTGGAAACATTATGAGACAGACTATGTTAGATAGAGATAGACTGGCCAAGTGAACAGAGTGAGGTCCACTGAGGCGCTGACTGTAAATTAGGCTGAGGATGACATAGCTCATAAAGAGCCTTGCTTTCTTCGGGGGTTGGTTGCTCCGTTCTGTTATGGGGAGTTCAATTTTATTTATACAGCCCCAAATGACAACACCAGTCGCCTCAAGGTGCTTTATATTATATCATAATAGGTCAAGAAAGAGGATCTTGATGCAGCACAGCAGACACACAGCTCGGTGAATAAACAAAAATAAATGTTTGTAAAAATGCACTGGTTTAACAGAAGCTGGCTGAAAAAGAAACAACAGGTACAGGAGTCCTGGCAAACACAAAACATAGAAACAAGAAGTTCAATAGAAGAGCTCAAGTAACATTGTCATAGTGGAGACTTTGTGTGGGTGGGGTGATGTTAACAGTCTGTTTTGACAGACCGTTCAGATTAGCATTACCTCCACCTTCCAAATATCCTGTCACATTTGACCTCTGCTCTCACGTTTATTTCACTTCTGCCTTTGACTTCAAAATGTGTAACGTCTCTACAGAAAGCGATGTCAAGAGAAAGCAAATGAGCAACCTAGGTAGCTAAAAATACACTGTAGTCAAATATTGTACATGTAAAAAGCCCAAGTTATTCATATCAGCAATTTACAAGTTGTGTTATTCCATGAACCACTCAAATCAAATCAGAGTAAACATCTGGCCTTGTGTTTACAGTTCAAAGTCTGTATTGAATTATATATTGAATGTTTTATTTCAAAGTTAGGTGGTGGTGCACAGGTAGAACCAAAAGAGAGAAATGTTGTTGTTTGGGTGAAACAAAAACGTGTGAAGAATTTTGTTCTGCAGGTTCATTTAAAATCATTTCAACACTTTTCATATAGTTTGACTTTACAACAACAATCTTCACAATAACAGTAATGCCAAAGTTCAGTAAAGTAAAAACACAACTATCTGATTGTGATTACTCATCAAACTAAATATATTGTGTGTGCTTCACAATTAACACACGATGTGATTAGTTAGAGGCAGTGTTGGCGCAGTCACAGTTGGTGCTTTTGATTGGCTGATGTGTCTGTTGGCACTTCGTCTGCCATCCACGAATTACAGACAACAGGAACGTTTAGCATGTAATGCATGTGTGTCTTTCTGCCCTTAGTCTTGGAACCACAGACGGTGCAACAGGACTCCATCAGACCGGTACCAACCAACCACTAGACCACACAACAAGTCGGTAGGTTCCATTCATATCCTTCATCTGCCTCTCCACCTGTGTCTCGTGCATTTCTAACTGTTTTGCGTTGTCTATTTGTGTTGCGCTTTTTCCTGCCTAAGTTTTCGTTGCTTTCTGTTTTTGTGTTCATTTTTTGCTGAAGTCGTTCTTTCTGTTTCCTGCTTAATCTCACAAGTAGATTATCACCAATTTGCCTTGATTAGGCCATTCTTCCTGCAGTTGAGGCGGGAAGAAAGACAAAAAGCCACTCTGCAATTTGAACACGTGCAAGGAACAAGTGATTGCGATCAATAAAAAAATGAGCAGGGAGAGAACAAGGGTGAAAATAAATGAACAAGTAAATAAATGAATTGCCAATTTCTGTTCTCGTCAAGTGTTTTTTGAAGGCAGCTCTTGAGGAAAAGCTGTTTCCGCTGAAGGACAGCAGTCTCTGTCTGAGTGTGGGTGTCTCTGCCTCTCCTTTCTGTATGTCACTGCACACCCAGGCTCAAGGTGCTTTAGACTGAGGGAGTGTGTGAGTGAGTTAGTTATGGGGAAAAGGAAGGGGTTAGATTGAGGGTTGAGCTGTCTTCCTCTTACATGGCAAATGTGGGATCGGAAACAGCAACACTGGATTCCAATCATTTGACCTGCACACAAAGCAGCATTCACTCAGTTTTAATATCGCTCTGGGTTCTTTGCTAGCTTAGCGTTTATATCCAAGCTGAAGGCTGCGCCATTATTCTCCACCTCCGCACGCCACAATCAGCTCATTGTAGGGTAACTGCAAGTGGAACCGATAAGCAGGATCGGCAAGCAGACTAACAGTTCCAAGAAATGCGACTTTTACTTTTACTACATAAACCAGTTCTAGATTCCCATGCTAAAGCTAACGAGTCCCCACTGTCCTCTGTCCACCATGCTGGATTCACAGCCACAAATGGAGCCACAGTAAGGTCCTTCATAGCTTTATTTTTGTACGTTAGTACTGTCATATTGAGGAAATAAACAGACACTAGAAATCTCTCGTTCTTCTTTAGGCTGAGCAGCAAAAGCAGGAGTGTAATGGTTTTAGCTAACTAGCTAACTAGCATCATTAACTAGTTAATGTAGCTAGTAGTATTTGTGTTTGCAGTATGCCCTAATTCGATTTTTTAACATGCATGTTTGCAGACTTAGCCCTTAGCACTGTTACAGTAACAGAAAATACAGAACACTAGCTGACAAATACAGCAGCATAAATACAGTGATCGGTGCTGCTGTGACATCAGTGTTAGGTCTGATTACTGTCAGACATCAAGTGCACGTCTCCTCTCTGTTTGTCCCAGTGTTGTCAGTAAAAGGGCACTTCTTCGCCACAGAACTGTCATTTAATGACATCAGTATATTACACTTTTAATGACACAAAATTAGAGCCTTCCCCAGCACCTTCATACTGGTCTACACGTTTATTATGTAAACAGGAAACTATACCAAGTATGTGTCATGTAGCAAACTGGTTCAGTTGTGAATATTTATGCATATGACACCCATGAATTATCTCACTTTGTGTTTATTTAACTAGCTCTGTGTTCTTTTTCCTTAGCTTTTTTTATAAATAAAGGTGAAAGACATTGTATTGTGTCACTTAAAGAGTACTGAAGTCCCTGCGTGGGAGTCCTGTGGTTCAGAGTGAAGGCTGACGGCTCAGAGGTGAAATAACAGTCCTCACTGGGACAAACCGAATGAGAAAACCCTACTGACACGTGGACTGACAAGCTAACATTTACGTCACAGCAGCATCACTGCAATGACACACAGGGACAAGACAATAAAGCCAACCTTTTCATCTGTAGTGTGTATTTGTGTATATATATAGAAATATATTTGTCATGTTTAGGTTTCTATGCATATTAACAATGTTACCAAATAAGAAATTCACTGTGACTTATATACAGATTGTTTATTTAGTTATTATTAGTAGTAGTAGTCAATTAATTAATTTTTAAAATATTATTTCTTTCACCTTCACCAGCTCTTGGACTCCAACTACACCCCGGTGACTTTGTCTGTCCTCCTTGTTTATGTCTTCTCCTTCTCTGTGATGAACCTAATTCTGTAGTTTTAGCCCATTTGTTCTGCGCTCTTTCACCAAATGATGTTGTCATGTCTGTCTCTGTTTCTCTATAATGAGCTCTATGAACCTGGTGCTTATTCCAGTGATGTTAAATCTAATAGTATACAATACAGTCTAAATGTATGTTGTTTTCAGCAGCTTTTGACTAAGTTTGGTCAGGAAATGTTTTTGTCCGTTAATTGGTAGGACCTGGGACCATTTCGTGGCCTTTGCGTTTTTTAATTCCACGCCATTTCCACTGTGTTTAATGGAGTATAGCCAAATTTTCAAACATGTATTTTTTTCCCATTTTATTTTAAAATTTCAGTCTGAGTTTTTTAAATGAGCTTAAATGGCTGAATAAAAGGCATACATCCACTATCGAACCTCGTGGCCGATTTGTGCCCCATTGAAACCCATTATAAACGCTATTTTTCACGCCAGAAAAGTTACGGTCAAAGGGATCGTCAGGTTTCCAGCTTAGGTTTCGTTTTGGACTACAGGCCTTAGAGTTGTAATTTTTTTATTTGTCCACCGGGTGGCGCCCTTGCTCCACATGTGACGCCTGCTGGAACATACACATGTTCTCCAGCGGCCTGCTCGAGACAGATACCCGGAAAAGGCAGACTAATTTCCCGCGTACAGCAGCAGCTTGGCCCGCTGCTCGTTCCGGACCATTTTCTGACCTTAGGATCATTTGAGGGTGCATTAATTTTTTTAATCAACAGGAAATGACGTATTTGTTTTCACGTGGTAGCGGAAGTGTGTGCTGCAGACACGGGAACCGAACCATATGCTCCGGCGCTGCGCGAAACACACCCGCGGCAGAGGCACTCCTCCCCGTGGGAGCAGGAGCAGCAGCGCCGCCTGGGGACATTTTTGGCTTCTGCAAAAAAAATTAAAACCGGATCGAAATTAATGTTCGTGCCAATCTTTTGTCCATCTAAAGGCCTAATTATAATAACAATAAAATATTACTTCAAATGTTTTTTTTTGGAAAATATTTTATGTTTTATGTTTTATGTTTTTGGGGCAAAAAAAGCAGTGCGCTCATGTGACGAAACCGGGATATAAAGGGTTAAAATCCGCGAAATGTAATTAAAACTTGACATGAATATTTCAAGGAGAAGTAGGTCTAAAAGATTGGCTAATTTAAAGTGGAATAAAATATTAATATATAAATTTTTTATAGCACTTTTTGGGCGTGGTCGATAGTGTGCATTTTATGAAATGCGCTCCTGGAAAAAAAATAAAAGGCGATCGAAATGACTGTTGGTGCCAATCTTTAGTCCATCTAAAGGCCTAATTATAATAACAAACAAATATTACTTCAAATGTTTTTTTTGGAAAATATTTAGTTTTTTTGTTTTTTGGGGCTAAAAAAACAGGGCGCTCATGTAATAAAACTGGGATTTAAAGGGTTAAAACAATGAAAATATAATTAAAACTTGACATGGATATTTTAAGCAGAAGTAGTTTTAAAAGATTGACTAATTTAAAGTAGAAAAAAATATTGATATATAACATTTTTAGAGCACTTTTGGGGCAGGACCATTTTTGGTCCCGAGGTTCACGAAAGGATGGGATTTTGAGGTTCTACCAAAGTTAAACTTGACAGGCTGTTTCATCGTTCCTCAACTACAGTCTTTTCATGTTCAGCAGAGCCACCCCGACACATACATGTTATAAATTCATTCAGGAAAGCAAACATTTCCACGGCGCAGGACAGCCGGCCCTTCGAGCTGTGGCTAGCTGAGAGCTAGAGGGACGAGACAGTGATAAACACACGAGGATGGGAAAATAGCAGGAAAGGAAATGTGGAAGTTGGCGGCTGCACGAAGGGAATGAAGGAGTGAAGGAATTTGGAAACAATGGAGTCTTTGTTAACACTGACCTTCCCTCTCTCCCTGCCTACACTACACCTTCAAGCTACCTCCCATCCCTCACTCCAGCTGCTCAGGGTATTTGTTTTGGTATTAGGTACTGTATCCACCAGCCAGTCAGATTTCAGATAATATTGCTAAACAGACGCTTGTGGGAAGCAATGACCTTTAGCATGCTCAGTTCACATTTTTAGAGCAGTTGGTTCTCTTTATTGTGTCTTTTTAGTCGTGAATCCTCTTGAAATTTCTTTTTTAAATGTGAATTTAAGAGTCAGTTAATCAAATTATATAACTGTTTATGCTAACGCTTAACAATTAGCATGAGGTTGGATTAAACAAATATAGACACTGAAAAGTCAGAGCTATTCAGCTCCTTTGTGCTTCTCGGCCCTAATTATCATGTAGCACTCTGAGGCAGGCAACTGCAGCATTCAGAGAAAAGAATAGATTAAAAGAGGCAGCTTTATTGCTGTACTGAAACTAAATAATTAAAAAAAATCAAGAAAAGAAGAAAACTAGGAGCAAACAACTGGAAAACTACAGGGTGCCCATGAAACTCACAGAAGACTCTGGAAGCAAAGCAAGAGGGGACAACGCAACAGAGAAGACAGGAAGACACAGATTATTTACACAGAGGGAGACTAGAGCAGTGTGGACACAGCTACACAGAAGCTGACTGACGAGACACCGGGAAGCAACACTGAACATAATACACACAAGATTATCAAAATAAAACAGGAAGTAATATACACTGGAGCTCAGAATCAGACTTTAGACTGAGCTCAACACTGGGACTGAGGATAAGCAGACGGACTGGGGAGACAAAGGGACAAAACACAGAGAGAGCAACATGAGAACAAGAAGAGGGCAAAAAACATTGACGGGACTACAAATGTATTCATTAAAAACAAGACAGGGAAAGCAGACAGAGAGACAGAACACAGAGAGATGAGATTTTAAATCTCAATGACATTTTTATCTTGATAAATAAAAGACTAATTAGTGGCAGGTCCAGGTAGCTTTACAGATGGCGCCATACCAAA